TGTTAGTGTATTCATATTTCATAGGTAAATGTGGTCATGTTAGTGTATTCATATCCCATATCTCATAGGTCAATGTAGCCATGTTAGTATATTCATATCTCATAGGTCAGTATAGCCATGTGAGTGAATTCATATCTCACAGGTCAGTATAGCCATGTAAGTGAATTCATATATCATAGGCCAACATGGCCATGTTTTCTTATCTCATAGGTCAGTATAGCCGCGTCAGTGTATTCATATCCCATGAGTCAATTTGGTCATGTAAGTGTATTCATATCTCATATCTCATATCTCATAGGTAAATGTGGCCGTGTTACAATATCATACGTCATAAGTCAATTTGGTCATATTAGTGCATTCATATCTCATATCTCAAAGGACAATGCAGCAATGTTAGTATATTCATATGTCATAAGTCAATTTGGTCATGTTAGTGTATTCATAGTTAGTTTGATCTCAAATGTATATTCATATACAATGGGGTTGTTTGATCTCAATAGTATATCCATGTACAAAGGGTTAGTTTGATCTCAATAGTATATTCATATACAATGGGGTTGTTTGATCTCATTAGTATATTCATAAAGAATTCTTAGTTTGGTCTTTATCGTATGTTCATGTACCATGGGTAAGCGTTGTCTTTGTAGTTTAGTATTATACAATGTATTATTGTTGTCGTTATGGTATATGCATATACAATTTGTTGGTACGACCTCAATAGTATATGCATCTACAATGTGTTAGTTCTGACACACATACAGACAGACAGACACACACACAAACGCTCAGTAACACTGTCATGTAATGTTTTTTCTCAAATTATGAAAAGATTTCTAAAGCCACCTTCTTTCTCAAACTAATTTTACATCAAAATTGTGACATTCTAGGTGGTATGCTGTCCGTTGTCAGTTGTTTTTTTCTGTTTTATAAATAATAGGTTTAAAAGTCATAATATTGCTAAATATTACTGACATGACTTCAGGTTGTAACAAATTCAATCATACAACGTCATCTATCTCACTCCCCCACTCACTCACTTACTCACTCAACCACCAACTCACTCACCACAGTATTTTATGTAACAAATCATTTCTTGCCACACCCCCAACAACCGCCCTGTGGTCAATAGGCGACACCTTCCCTAAAGATGGGCACAATGGTTCTACCCCTAGTCTACCAATATGCACACAGATATATCATACCTAATGACTGTATAACTTTCTATATGTCCTTCCACACTGTCAATACCATTGTGGCACGGGACAGCTGGAATCTAGGATATGACTTGAGTTATGTGAGAAAATAATGTAGTTCCACAGAATACCCAGGCTCGGAGTTATTGACGAGAGCTTTATGATGGTGATCGGGATATCGAATTGTGTTCGGGGCGGAACTCGGAATGGAAACCACAGGTTTGCTGTCATTGTTTAAAAATACACACTTCACACGTTGATATATGAAGCTTCGCCTGCCATGAATATATCAAACGAGCTTCAATATACAACGCAAATAATGACGACAACAGCAAGAAGACAATTCCTGCAGGACTCTGGATCGATGTCAAGGCAAAACGTTATGTTTACATCTACTCCGATAATTACCTTCACCCTTACCAGTCGGTCGTGCTAAATGTGACGGTTCCTGATCTCCCACCTCCTCAGCATCAGCATCATCAACATCAACAACAACATAATCTTTGCAACTTCGTTATCGTGCAACATTGTGTCCTTTCCATACGTTTCGTTGTTGTTCGTTTGTTGTTTAACGCCGCACTCAGCAATATTCCAGTATTGTGAAGGCGGTCTGTAAATAATCGAGTCTGGGCCAAACAATCCAGTGACTGACCTCATGAGCGTCGAGCTACGAAATTGGGATATGATGACATGCATCAACCAAGTCAGGGAGCCTGACCATCCGATCCCGTTAGTAGCCTCTTATGTCAAGCATTGTCGCCTCTTACGGCAAGCATGGGTTGCTGAAGACCAGTTCTAAACCGGATTTTCCCAAATGTTTCATGAACATTATCGTCACAAAACAGGCACGATCATCATTGCACACACCTTTGTTTGAACGTCTTATGGTGTACCTCACGTCAAATCATCTTCACCCAAAGTACCTTCTCCCACTGCTACCAGAATTCTTAGACAAAGTCTTTAACGACATGAACAGGGCCGACGTTTGAGATTCGAGTCTCTGACACAGGAACTCTACAACAGCAGAGGGTACCAGGTGGAACTGTGCAGCATCTTACAGCAGTCACGTGATATTGTCACACCTCTTCATGAATTTCTGGACCACGTCACTGACGACATCAACAGGGTCGACGTTTGAGTCGTCACCCGATTCTACGACGGCAGAGGGTTCCATTCACAACGTGTAGCAACAGAATTCTTAGACAGCATCATTGACGTCATAACAGCTGCGTCGCCACCACCCCGTACCCCACGACGGTAGAGGTAACCAGATTGAACTGTGCTATCATAAAGTAGCAGGCAATCAG